CTTGCTTTGTAGTCCCGCCCCTTGTCTTAGCCACGCCCATTTGGTTTGCATCCCCGCCCCATCTTTTTAGCCACGCCCCTTTGCTTGTTGCCCCGCCCCTTACCTTAGCCACGCCCCTTTGGTTTGCACCCGTGCCCCTTTAGCTCCGCCCCCTTGCTTTGATGCAAGTCCCCATATCCCATCCCCACCCACTACATGAAGCCACGCCTCCAAAAGGCCCCACCCCCTACAACAAGTCCCGCCCCCCTGAAGGCCCAGCCCACTACGGGATACCTCGCCCCCCAAAAGTCTCCGCCCACCGCAGGAAGCCCCTCCCACTGCCTGTGCAACCCGGAAGTCCCACCCATTTAGACCCCGCCCCCCTCCAGGCCTGAAACCTTCACCCCATTGGACAGCAGGCCGCAAAGCCACTCCCCCCACCCCCAATTGCTGACACCCCACCCCGAAGCCACGCCCACTGGCGGCCTTGGCTCCACCCCCAGGCCCTGGAGCGGCGCTATGCCGAGGAGTGCCAGCAGGGGGCACCGTCGCGCCGCAGCCGCTTTGAATATGCGTGGGGGCTGCTGCGCAGCAGATACAACAGCGACGTGCAGAAGGGAGTGGCCATGTTCCGAGGTGGGCGGGGCTTACAGGGGGCACCGTCCAATGGCAGGGGTGCTCTGGGGTTGATGGGCGGGGCTTAAATGGAACACGGTCCAATGGGAGATGTGCCTTGGGGTTTCTGGGAGGGGTTAAAGGTCGTGCTGTCCAATAGCAGAGGTGCAAGGGTTTGTGGGTGGGGCTTAAACGATGTGCTGTCCAATGGCAGAGTTGCTCTGGGGATTATGGGCGGGACTTAAAGTGGGCACGGTGAAATGGCAGATGTGCCTTGTGCTTTATGGACGGGGCTATAGGGGGCGCCATCCAATGGCAGGGCTGCTCTGGGGTTTATGGGTGGGGCTTAAAGGGGTCGCGGCCCAATGGGAGTGGTGCCTTGGGGTTTCTTGGCGGGGTTAAAGGAGATTTGGCCCAATGGCAGAAGTGCTGAGGTTTATGGGCGGGGCTTAAAGGGGGCACCGTCCAGAGAGGACCCCAATGCCCCCATTGGCCCCATTGCCCCCATTGTCCCCACTGACCCCATTGTCCCCAATGTCCCCATTGACCCCAATGCCCCCATTGTCCCCATTGACCACATTGACCCCCATTGCCCCCAATGTCCCCATTGTCCCCATTGCCCCCATTGTCCCCATTGACCCCATTGACCCCATTGACCCCAATGTCCCCATTGGCCCCATTGACCACAATGACCCCATTGACCCCAATGGCCCCATTGCCCCCATTGTCCCCATTGCCCCCAATGCCCCCATTGCCCCCCATTGCCCCCAACGCCCCCAATGCCCCCATTGCCCCCAATGTCCCCAATGCCCCCATTGCCCTGTTGACCCCATTGACCCCATTGACCCCAATGTCCCCTGTGCCCCCACTGCCCCCATTGCCCCCATTGCTCTGTTGACCCCATTGACCCCATTGCTCCCATTGCCCCCATTGCCCTGTTGACCCCATTGACCCCATTGACCCCATTGCCCCCAATGTCCCCAGTGCCCCCATTGACCCCACTGCCCCCACTGCCCCCATTGCCCGATTGACCCCATTGACCCCATTGCCCCCATTGCCTTCATTGCCCACACTGCCCCCATTGCCCCCATTGCCACAACTGCCCCATTGACTCCATTGATCCCAATGCCCCCAATGTCCCCAGTGCCCCCATTGACCCCATTGCCCCCATTGATCCCAATGCCCCCATTGTCTCCGTTGACCCCATTGCCCCC